GCGCCGTCAGCTGTGTCTGTCGCCGCTGCTCCCGAGCCTCCGGCCGCACCCTCCGCGTCCGTTCAAACCGTGCATGCTATTCGAGATGTAACGCAACCGCCTCATGTACTTCTCGCCACTACGTATGTTAATCTAAGTACTATCGAGGGCCGCTCATTCAAAGTATGTGCGCTACTAGATCAGGGCTCGACATACAGTTTCATATCCGAATCTCCTTGTCAGACTATGCGAACCAAGCGTCATCGTGCCGGGTTAAAAATACATTGCTTCGGAGAGAAATTTAATGGAGTCGCGCGATCTCAAGTCAATCTCATGCTCGCGCCATGCGACAAACAGGGACCGATATTCCCATTTTCGGGCTACGTATACCAACGAATTACTTCGTACACAGCCTCTCAAACAAAGCCAGCCGCAATGTGGCTGCATCTACGCGATTTACCGTTAGCAGATCCCGATCCCTCGTGTAATCGCCCGATTCATGTACTAATCGGCGCGGATTTATACGGTTCTCTGCTGCTCGACGGCCTCCGTCAAGGCCCGGTCGGCACCCCGACGGGCCAGCTTACTGTTTTCGGCTGGATCGTCTCCGGTCCTGCCGGCACCGCGCGCCCAGCCGGAGAGTCCGTTTCCGTTTTGAATTGCGTATCCTGCAAGGATACAAATTCATTGATCCAAAGTTTTTGGGAGGACGAAAGTATCCCCTCTCAAAATCCTCTCACGGAAGAGGAAGAACGTTGCGAAAATTATTTCGCTAGTACGCATTCTCGCGATTCTCAAGGACGTTACATTGTTCGTTTGCCTTTCAAGAACGGTCCCCCTCACATAGGCGACACTTTTCGAAAGGCTTCTTTCTTATACTCCAAAATAGAGCGCCGACTCTCGCAGAAACCCGAGATCGCCGCTCAGTATCACGATTTCCTCAAGGAATACGAATCCATGGGGCACATGGAAAAGGTACGCGACGACGAGCCCTCTCGATACCCCCCGGTGTACATCCCGCATCATTTTATTTTGCGCGAATCGAGTACGACCACTAAGTTACGCGTCGTGTTTAACGCGTCGAGCAAATCGGACGACAAAACCACTCTCAACGATTTCTTAATGGCGGGACCAAGACCAAAGCTACAACAAGACATCGCTGCAATAATTTTACGCTGGCGATTATTCCGTATTATTATTATTACGTATACATGGCGGACATCGCGAAAATGTTCCGTCAAATACGCATACATCGTGATGACGCGGATTATCAACGAATTTTTTGGCGCCCTCCCGCAAGTCTGTTGATTCGACTGTATCGCTTGCTCACCGTGACTTACGGCCAAAAGCCATCGCCATTTCTCGCGCAGCGCTGCCTTCTTCAATTAGCTCATGACGAATGTAAATATTTTCCCAACGCGGTTTCAATAATCGAAGAATCGACCTACGTCGATGACGTTCTTTTCGGAGCAGACGACCTTCGGTCTCTGCTTGAAAAACGCAAGCAATTCGTCGGACTAATGAATCGCGGATGTTTTCCCCTCCAAAAATGGGCCGCGAATTCACCCGAACTGTTGACGGATATCCTGGAGGACCAACGTAAATCCTCGGACTATCCGATCAATCGCGATGACACGCTCAAGGTCCTCGGCCTATCTTGGTCACCGCATGATGACTCGTTTACCTTTGTAATCTCGCCTTACGCCGTAACTGTTCATACTAAACACTCCGTTTTATCATTTATTTCAAGGTTATATGACCCCCTCGGATGGGCATCACCGATCGTCATCGCGGCCAAGATGTTGATGCAAGAGCTCTGGCTCCGTAAAATTGATTGGGACTCTCTCATCCCCGACGATCTTTTACCTCATTGGATTAATTATTGTACGGATTTGCCTCATATCAGTGAAATACGCATTCCCCGATGGACAAGGATGCGTCAAGATAAACTCGAAGTGGAGTTACACGGATTCGCGGACGCGTCCATTCGCGCTTACGCCGCGGTCGTTTGCCTTCAAATCGTGCATTCTACCACGAATATTCAGGTGACCCTCCTCGCGGCCAAAACGCAGGTCGCGCCGTTAAAAACCGTCAACGTTCCACGATTAGAACTTAACGCCGTCGTTCTGATAATTCGGTTGTTAGATTGGGTAAAAAATTCCCTGCGTTTCCCGCAAGCGTCATTATTCGAATGGACTGACTCCCAAATCGCATTGGCTTGGATTCAGCAACGTCCATCGCGATGGAATTCCTACGTCGCGAACCGCGTCTCCGAGGTGCAGACGCGCCTTCCGTCAGTACGTTGGCAGCACGTCCGCACTCACGACAATCCTGCCGACTGCGCTTCTCGCGGCTCTACCGCAGTCGATCTCGTACACTATGAATTATGGTGGGTAGGCCCCCCGTGGCTTAGAAAATCCCCGGCCTCGTGGCCGATTCTCCCGACTCCTACCGGAAAGAAAATTTTGTAAACGGTATCTTCCGAAGCGCGCAAGGCTACCGTTCATCTCGTCGATCCAACTCCTGAGTGGGAGCTGCCCACCTCGTGCTTGAGCTGGATCCGACTTCTCCGTATTACCGCGTACATTCGCCGTTTCGTGCAAAACTTAAAAAATAAAGTCGCCTCATCGATGATCGTCAAGTCGCCTTTGACCGCGGAAGAGATCCACGAAGCTTCGGTCTTTTGGCTTCGATCGGTACAAGCGACCTGCTTTCTTGATGACTTGAAGGCCTTAAACGCTCATGCCACCGTATCGAGAACAAGTCCATTGCGCTCTCTCCACCCATTTATCGGGAAAAATTTACTAATCCGGCTGGGCGGGCGGCTCGAAAACTCAGCGCTGAGTTACAATGAGCGACACCCGGTCATACTCCCGCGACATCATATTTCTGAACTTTTGATCGATCAAACTCACCGACGCTCCCTCCATGGAGGGACATAACTCACGTTTAGATGTCTCCGTCAGACATATTGGATAATTTTGGCGCAAAGCATAATCAAATCTCACATCCATAAATGTGTTACCTGCCTTCGATACTCCGCGAAAACGCCGACGCAATTAATGGGTGATCTCCCGAATCCCCGAGTCAATCCCTCTCCTCCTTTCTCTCACACGGGCATAGATTATGCCGGACCGATGATTATTACCCCCGTGATCGACCGTGGTCAAAAAGGGAGTAAACATTTCGTGGCGGTCTTCGTTTGTCTCGCCACTAAAGCGATCCACCTCGAGTGTGTCGAGGATTACTCCTCCGAGGGATTCCTTGCCGCATTTCATCGGTTCGTCAGTCGACGCAGACTGCCATTGAACATATACAGCGATATTGACACGAACTTTCGGGGTGCGGATCGCGAGCTACAATGCAGCTTTCGCTCGCTTATGAACGATCTTTCCCTCAAAAAAATCCTCGCGAATGACGGTGTGCAATGGCATTTCGTGCCCCCGGCGGCACCACATTTCGGCGGACTTTGGGAGGCTGGCGTTAAAAGTTTTAAGCACCACCTCAAGCGGGTGATCGGTGCTTGTACCCTGTCTCGCTCGGAATTCGTGACTATTTTATGTAAGATAGAGGCGTGCCTCAACTCTCGACCGATTTCGCCCCTCAGCAACGATCCGTCCGACTTTACCGCGTTGACACCTGGGGCTCTATTCTCGAATCACTCGCAAATTTGCGCATACGCACGATTCGAATGGTCGAAGATGCGCATACGTTTCTGACACGGTATTCTTGAACGTAAAAGTGTAGTATTCGCAATTGGAAACGTATACGCTGGTATACGCTTTCCATTGCACTGATTTATGTTTGGCAACGTCGGAAAATGTAAGTACATTCCTACAAATATCGATCAGAAGCATCGTGCAATGTATATTGATTGAAAAGGTATTGTATTATATTTAATTAAAATTTTATATTTAATTGATAGAATAATTAATAAAACTAAAGGGAAAAAGTTATTATAACATTTATACAATTTTCTTTTTAACACACACATAAAATCTTTATCTTAATAATAGATCTATTCTTGTGACTTGTAATGTATAGGTTTTTCTAAAAAACATTATTTGTTACTTTTAATACAATATATTTTCTTATACTTATAAATAAATGTTTTCTAAAATTGGAAGTACATATTATATAATTTTTGAAAGTAAAGTTTTAACGTTTCTACATTTTTCTGTTAGGTTAGGTTTTCGTCGTGATCGTCGCTTCTCTCGGGCTGCGTCCACTGGTGTCTCTTCCTCGTCGGTGTTCCGTCGCTCAGCTCGCGCTCACGGCGCATCGCCTGACACGTACGGATTGCCATTTCCGCGCGCGGTGTCCGTCGCGTCCTTGCCTCGGCGCTCTCCGGTCGTGGCTTCGTCCGGTCGTTGTCTTCCTCGTTACTCCATCGGCTGATGTAGATCGCGCATACGCGCGTTTTGTGGTCGCCGTCTCTAAGGTAAGCTTTGTTCTCCTCGTCCTCCAGGCTGCTGTAATCGGCGTAGTCGTCCATCTGGCTGTCACTGCCACTTATTTTATGGCAAAGTTACTGTTGTGAAATTGTATTACTAATGATACATATTAATAACTTTCTTTATACGTTGTTTTGGTATTACAGATGGATAGCTTGCAGAGAAAAAAAAGATGTGCAAATATCACAAATGAGCAAAGAACACTATTAATAGAGTTCATGAATAAGCACAATGAATTATTAAAAGGAAAGTTTACATTTTCCTTTACCATGAAAGATTCTGTACGTTTGTAGAACGAAATAACTGAAATCTTAAATTCAGTAAATGGCGCTAAAAAGGACTGGAAAGGTTGGCGTATGGTGAGTTATATTTCTATATTAATAAAATAAAACTAATTATATATATATATATATATATATATATATATGTATGTAAACCGTATATTGTGAGGTCCGACACTAACACATAGATTTCTCTGCATACATAGGTGTACATTAACGTGTAGTTGAGTGTATCATTGGAATTTTTGATATATTCACTATTTTTTCCGAGTTATTAAACATTTTTGTTTTTATGGATTAATTGTATATTCCGAGGACCATCATTTTAATTTATAATAAAACACAATTATGTTACCCGATCTGATATATTGCTGCATACGTAGTATCTTTAGTACAAATCATTGCTTTTGACTACAGATCTAATTAAATGTACATTATGGCTAACAAAATATTATCAAATATAGAACAATGTAATTTTATGAGGTCCAAAAACAACTATTCTACCGATTGAATCGTAATAAGGTCCTAATAAATAAATGCTATTCATGAGCCTATTAATAGGTTACAGAAATGTAGTAGATATATGTATCATATCGTAGATGAGTTATTAAAGATATTCCATTTTGCATTCAAACAATGGTCTTTTAATTAATAATATATTCAACCATCAAAAAAGTTTTATCACATAAATAGCAATATAAAATTATTTAGAGATAAATTGGAAAAACTATTTATTCATAAAGATTATAAAGGTATACAAAATAATAGATTGTTGAAATAAATATAATATATTAAATGCCTCTAAATCTGTATTACATTATTTCTACAGTACACAAAAATTAAAAGGGCTTTATAATATACATTTCGTATAATTATAAAAATGGTCCTCATAATAACGTTTAGTCTACATAATATACAGTTGTTCAATGAAAAGGTACTCACAATATGCGTTCTGCGTATATATATATATATATAAATATTGATGCTCATAATATTCAATTTTTATACATTTATTAGATGCATAATTTTTAGTTTGGCTTCCTCATAAAGGAAGCTTTTCGCGCGTAGCAATACGTTGTGGATTCAATTTGCTAATTTCCTACTCTCTCACTTCAAAATTGTGACTTTGCTATGTGCAAATCGCAATTTGATGAGGAAGCCAAGTGCAAATTTTTAATTTGCACAATTTTTTTCCAAATTTTTTCATAAACGTTACAAGCTGCATCTTCTTGTTGCTTTTTTCCTGAAAGTCTATCTGTCTCTATCTTTCCTTAACTTTCTTTAATTATACTTTTTCGTTTATATTAATTTTGTATTTGATCGCGTATAAAACTGAATCTAATCAACCAAATCTTAAAAAATTATATATAAAATAGGGGTAGAAAAGACTGAAAAATATAATAAAATTAAAAATAGATCGATATCTCCAAATTTGCGGAAGTTAGAGCAACCACGGACATTTCTAAAAAAATTCAAAATTTTTTTTAAAAAGAACCCCTTTCCCGATCATCACCAAAATCAATACCAACTTTTCTTGAATGTTACTCTATCGATTAAAAAAAAACATCCCAATATCTCAAAAATTACGGAAGTTATACCATAAACAAGAAAAAAAGATAATTCAACACCAACATAACTTTAATGATACTCTACGATTTTTCGACGTTTTCGAACATAAGCAACACATTGGCATCGAAAACTCAAAAAACAATTTTTACTTCGGTCTTTTCTACCTCTATTTCATATATAATTCTTTTAAATTCGGTTGATTAGACTTAGCTTTATATGCGATCAAAATTATGGACCTTTGATCGCGTATAAAACTGAGTCAAATCAACCAAATCTTAAAGAATTATATATAAAATAGGAGTAGAAAAGATTGAAGAATATAATAAAATTAGAAATAGACCGATATCTCAAAGTTTGCGGAAGTTGGAGCAAACACAAAACCTTTCTACAAAAATTCAAAATTTTATTTAAAAAGAACCGCTTTACCGATCATCGCCAAATTCAATCCC